GGGTGACGATTACCATCGATTTTGCAGGCCCATTAGTAAACCCATTGTGATCCCACTGTATGAACCCATGCCTAGGCCCATTAGTAGTAAATTATGCATGCAATACAAGCTATGATTTTTAGCACATTATATTATTTATGGAAAAAGCGCTATTGTGCTCGTCATGTCCGTCCGTGACCTCACGGACGGACGGACGGACGGACGGACGGACGGACGAGAAAATGCGCTCTCTGTCACTCACTGCAGTGAGTACTGATCTAATTTTTTAAGCGATGGTCTTTTTTAGAGATGTTCTACGATTCGAATTTGTACAAGATGTGTTGGAATTTCTGCAAGATTGTATATACGTTTTGCTGGCGTTTTTAAGCCTGGCACCGGGAATTCACTACATTCAACAATAAATACCGTGTTGAGATAATAATGGATCTGAAATTTTGTTCAAAATTTTGGCATCACGTTAATTAAAATTCAACGTGGATTAAAATACTAAAATTATTTTCGGAAAAGACACCGGGGTACATCAGTGGATTCTTTGTTGAGTGAGTTGAACACGGTAATTTCTTCAATAAAAATACACTCAGTTCAAGATTTTCGATAAAAGCAGATACAAATCGATGAAGGGATTCTCAAATCTCAAGGCATCTCTATCCCGAGCTACGCTAATAGGTTCTTTTAATTGTTACATGAATATTGTGTTTGTTCCGTTCGAAGCCTCGCTTGGTACCATGGATACAATCACATTATTTTATATACTCTGAGCAGCAGATATTACCACGATTAACTGCAAGGTCAGTCATTGAAATAGTAAAGTTTTTAATCGACAAACTCTTTGGCTTAAATTTTAAGAATATTGACAATATATTGTACTTCTGATATGCTGTCAATAAATTATGAATGATAAACCTACATTTATTTTCTAAAAATTTTTCATATTAATTTTTCTTTAAATATCAGCAAATTTTCTGAAGATTATTTTTACATTTCTGTAGAATTTTTACGTATGTTCTTTCCTCTTATTTATTTTTGAGCCATCCTTCCTACTTAAGTGAATATTTAAGGTACATTTTGTCAATAGAATTCCCATAATTTTCATAAAATTTTGTGAACATTCCATGCATTTTTGGTGATGGTAAGACTAGCTCTTTTAGTTGGACCAGTTGGTCAATCTGATCATATATTTTCTGGAATCTGATGAGTATTTTTCGGGAACGATCTTAAGCGAGTTTTTTATGTGGGTATGACCAACGTCTGAGCCGCCTACTGCTTCCGGGAGTTAAGAGTCGCATTTGCTTTGCTTAGAAATTCATTGCCAAGGCTTCGCAAAGTTGATCATCGCATGCGAAAGGCTGATTTGACCGATTAAATGGAAATTAGCAGTGGTGAAAAGACTAAAAGACGAAAGTCTTGATCCACAATCATGAAAACACATCATTCCTACGCCAAAATAACAGACGAAATTAGCAGACACTCGTTATACATGGAGCTATAATGATAGAAAATTGCATGCCAGTTTCACTGAAGAAATTTGCCGCTGAATCTACAAATCACGAGGAATAGTTTGATCCACGAATCACGACATACCGTCCGGTCCAGTAAAAGCTTCATCGTAAATAATTTGCAATAATACGAGGCTGGAAGCACATGCGACTGTACAAGCTCCTTTTTGGAGCGTGTTCAATCATCATTGGTCTTCTTTTAATCATTGATCTTTTAGAACGTAATGAAAAAATTTTCGGTCTTATCTACCACCCTGAATCCCGAATTCTTCACGAAAATGCGACTGAATGACAAAACGTGCTGAAACAAGTTTTTCTTGAATAAATTGTGGCTGACGAATTTTTCTGTAAGTGAAGAACCTTGGAGAAGAGTACTGAATTTTGGAAAACGAATTATTATTATTATTAATTATTATATTCGGGAGGAGTACCAATAATTGAAGAGCAATGGCATTGTACCAAAGTAAAGGTTTACTGGGTAACCCCAGTATTTAGCTACGCAACACTAAACTGGATACCTTGCAGAATGATTACCTGGCGACTTCGCCGATTTATACCAAATATTTTACAACTTGCTTCAGGTTTAGAGCCTCCTCCGTTCGCTACTCCAATCTTTGTAATCTTTACCACTCAGCCACTGTTGAACTTACTTTAATTGGAGACAATTCTAAAGAAATAAATAAATAAATAAAAAAACTTAAAAAAACACGTTTTCTTAACGGACAAAAAAGAAAAACATTTACTCTTACCTAACATTTAAGTTATGTAAAATGTTATGTAATGTTATGTAGGAGTAAATGTTTTTCTTTTTTTGTCCGTTAAGAAAACGTGGTTTTCAAAAGTTTTTTTTTAATAATTTAATTCAACAATTTTTGGTAAGGAAAAAACAAAAAAAAAAGGGTTTTAAAAATTTTTTTATATATATTTATTTTCTACTTTCTAGTTAGCAATTTTAGCAATTCAAATCAATTTCCAGGGTAGGCAAGTGTGGATGTTCGAGAAAAAACTCTATTCCAAACCGTGAATTTTTAGTGTCTTTTTTTACTTTTAAAATTTTTTTTCAAAATTTTTTTTTAATTATTATTTCTGATGTTCAAAATCTTGTATTGTTAGGGCAGCATAAGCATGCATGCTAAATTTCAACTTACTAGGATGTTTAGAAGTGCTCTAAATTAAGGTTTGAATTTTTGATGACAGGCACACACGAAACGAAGTCAAGAAAAACGTGGTAATATTATGAAGTGAATACAAATCTTGACATGCTTTTCTGCCTATTTTTAGCATTATAGCTGCGATAAATGAAGTCATTAACTCTGTAGAGCACGCCCAAGTGCTGATGGCAGTATGAGACAAATGAAGTAGAAAGAAAAACAGTCATAATCTCATCAACATCGGTAAATTTTTGTACAAACCTGAAAGATAAACACAATCAATTGACCGGAAAGAATATCATAGATAGTAACTTACGTCATGTGGGATCTAATCATCGGGATAATTGTCAACAAACATTGCTAATTCTAGCCACAGCAACCTAATATTTTGTCTCCTCTAGCTAATGAATGTAATTGTTAGAGCTCGAAGTAACTTGAGAAAAGGTAGTGTAAGCTCGCACGATAAACTGCAATGAATAGCTGTGCTATTTGTATTGATTTGAGTGTATTTGCCTTTTAATCTACCGTCATCTGAAGAAAATCCAATTCTCTGGTCACCAATCGCACGTGTATTTAAGTGTATATGTACTCACGTGACATTGCCATGTTTAGATCTATACCGTATCATATCATCCTCAGACTACCATCTATCATGAATCAATTACTCTAATTCTAGGAAATTTGTCACCCATCAAAAGAAAGAAAAATATTCTTGTCGGGAGCGTGTTGGTCGTGGTCTTTGACATGTGGGTCTCATATGACAAAGCAACTTGTAACACGCTGGTATTTTATTTACCACAGATTTCAAAGTATATATGTATAGTTTCAGACTCTAAAGAATAAATTTTTAAAGTTTTTAATCCATATCTTTCGTAGAATTTCATTTAGTACTTTGAACTTAATACCAAACCTCACGGCAACTGATAGTGTAAATGCTAAAAAATTAGTAGACTTGTAACGCGCGTAGTTTTTAGTTAGGAAACTAATTATTCAAAGTTGAAAAAACTATTGCAGAATTAACATATTGAATTATTACCGAAGTTGCAATTAATGTTAAACATAAAGTTTAGTTAGGGCTAACATAAAATTATTAAAGAAATTGTCCAGTTTATTCCTCCAGCAATGATGACAAAAATTGCTAAAACAACACCCAAGAGTTTAGACAAATTCGGAAAATTATCTAAATGGATTTTTTCATGGAGTTATCTGGTAGTCAATTTTTTTTCGTTGCATTAAAATAGGTCCGGAATGACTATAAAACAAGTTAGGAGGCCTAGTAATATATAAATTTTTTTAATGGGTGTTTTTTTACCTCAAATCGGCATGGGTTGTTTTTAGAGTTGATCACAATTTATACCCCGCTTTGAGCTAGCATCTTAAATACTGTAAAGTTATAATGGAAAAATTATTATGGTATGATTTTAGCGTTGATGAAATGACGAGTCGCTTAAAAGATGATCGTACTCCCATGCCTGAAAATGAAAAATCTGAAGTTTCGATGACGTTGGAATTCATATATATGCCTAATTTAATATTGGAGCAATAAATGAACTATCCACAACTGAAAACGGCGTCCGCGTTAAGAATGAAACTATCTTCCAGGCAAATGACGTTGAAACAACGTCGATTTCGACCTGATAGCGTTGAAACAACGTTTAATCAACGCTATTTTAAATTCAGATATCCGATGAGGATGTACGTGCAAAAATCAACTTACGGTGAGGCTGAAATCGATTTCTTAACGCGGTTACTACGATAATAAATCAAGTAATTACATTGGTTTTGGCGAGTAACGTATGAGTCAGCTACCAAGTCTCAACGGGTTCATCAAAAGTTTTTATAAGGGGTCATCATGAGTTACAATTGTAGTCATTATGAGTCTCAGTGGAATCATTATATATATACATGTGGTCATAATAAATCTCAATGTGGTCATCATATATCTCAATGTGGTCATTATAAATCCCAATGTGGTCATAATAAATCTCAATGTGGTCATTATATATCTCAATGTGGTCATAATAAATCTCAATGTGGTCATAATAAATCTCAATGTGGTCATTATAAGTCTCAATGTGGTCATCGTAAATCTCAATGTGGTCATTATAAATCTCAATGCGGTCATTAAAAATCTCTATGGGGTTATTTTCTCAAAATTCAACTAGGGTCATCCATCATTTTCGTTCAACTTGTCAAAGAATTTCGGCCTAACCACGCAGCCGTGCAAACTCTATCGGGGTATCAGAATAAAATGCCTCCATCAATGGTACAAAAAATCTCTTCGTAGATTTTCCACACAACAAAAGCTTTGTCAGTATCGCCGGGAAATGTGTAAGGAATTTATACAAACATAACTGCTAACAATTTTATTGAAACTCCAAAGGATAAGCTTCGGATCCAGAGAAGTAGAAACCGGAACTGCAGTGGATGCAGTTGAGGAAACTGAAATTAGAAAACGAAACCTTACTTAATGAATGCCAAAGCTTGAGAATCGATTTGATCAATTATGCTCAGAAATTCCAATTCAGCGGTACAAAACTTGACAGTGAACGCATATTCCCAATCTAACCTCAAATGAAATAACGCGTACAGCACAAATAATGTCGCGCTGGCTGCACTGGAGGCTTGAATCACACGGCAAAGAGATGCGACGTATGAGGATATACCGGAGGTTATACTGTAAATTGACAGTTACAAACAAGATTAGATTGATCAGCAAGTGCTATTGTATCGTATGCAATTTATCATTATGAGGATCAAGATATATTGAGCAATTTATGAAAAATTAAGAATAAATATTCGCGACTAACCTTCTAATTTATTACCGCTGGGGTAAATTTAGAAGTGGCTTGGAAGCCGTTTAGAGGTACATAGGTGTTTGCAAGTGATGTGATCATTCAGGATGATTTCGCATTTGTGATGATTAGCTTGAAAAAAATGCGAACCATTTCCTACGACGTTGATTAGACATTGATTACGAGTCGTTGTTCTCAACAGATACAAGTAGCCTCGACACACGATGGTTGATCGCAGACGGTTTTGAGAGACGGGAACCAACGCACTTCGTATTTCTCTTTTGGAAAATCAAATAAAAAATTTTTGCAATTTAAAGATTGTTCAAAGATTTATGAATGAATGAAACATACTTCTTCACTTCTAGTGAAGAAGTATGAAGTAAGTAAGAAGTAAGTTCACATACTTCTTCTTCTTCGTTCGTGAATGTCACTAAACTTGACGTGGATATTCACGTTCATTAGTTTATACATTGGATTTTACAGTGGAAGAAGAATATAATTTCATTATAAAAAAATTCAAGGTAGAGTAAAGGGTTTTAAATCAAGTAATGTGTGTTGATTAATCAATGCTGTTGTAATTACTTATTCAAATCAATCGGAAGGATCTTCATAGAAATATTTTATTATGCTAATGACGTTCAAGAGAGGCTGAGAGAAATCGCTTAAACTATGATCAATCAGTTTTACAGAAAATACATCATATCAGTGAAATAAAAATTAATATATTTCATATCGAAGTCAATAAGAATGATTCTTTTCATGAAAATTATAATAACTTTATACCTAGCATTTAGTCCACTATGCTTGTCATCAATTCTGAGTAACGAAGGATTGCGTTTGGAAAAAATCGACGAGGCTTGCATCGAAACTTCTTTTTCGAAGCTTCATTCGACTAGCAAGGTGGGATCACTGAAAAAACCGGGATATGTGTAAAAAGTAATATTTGTCTTTTATTTTAATTTTTTTTTAAATCCTTGCATCTGAATTCTAGACTGTTTTAGTTTCAGTTTCTAGTGTCAGTTAAGAATCAATGTGAACTAAATTGAACGCCTTACTCACGTCAGATGGCGTGCGCTCGAGAGTGCCATGTGAATTCGACCTGCTCAGCCTTCTGCCACTCTGCCGCACTCAGCTCCTGCTACCTCAACGGTGAATTCTATCGTCACTACAACGTACAATTCGCCAGGCAAATGAAGGCGAAATAGCGTATTATTAATGTTGATTGGGAAAATACGTTGAATTTCACGCCGATTCAACGAAAATACTTTGAATTCAACGTAGCTTTGACAAAACTAAGTTGAATTTAAAATAGATTCAACAAAACTAAGTTGAATTTAACGTTGATTCAACAAAAATACGTCGGATTCCACTTTAATTCAACAAAGAAATGATTAATACAACGTATATTGAAAGTCGAATGTCTGGCGGGAGCCAGCGTTGGGAATGATTAATTAAATTAGGATAAAATAGGTTGACAACTTAAATGAAACTTGTAGTTATATTAATAATATAAATATCACCGGGTGGGCCAAATTGTTTATAAAAATTAATATGAATAATGAGTGGTAATATGTTATATTAAGAATAGACTTTAAATTTAATATCCAGGATTTCAAAGTTTACTAGCTTCTCGTACTGCAACAGTAGATGAATATTATGGTTATTGAATACATACACCATTAATAATTTAGAACAACGCGATATAAGTTTTACATTCTTTTTATGAAAAATCATCAAACTGCCCTTACTTGGCAATAAAATACCTAAAATATGTAGTTGATCGTAGATAAGTTGCAGCTAAATCACATGTGAATGCATTTGGAAGCGAAATGCACTAGTACAATATAATGAAAATGCACGCACCATATTTCGTTTTCGGTATAGTAATAATCAATAAATAACTGCGAGAAACCGTACAGTGTACATTAATAACTTTGATTCAATTTTATTTAGAGATACGGAATTTATCGAATGCCGCCGCAGTGGACGCAATGAAGTCATATCTTCTCGTGAGCTCCAGCATGACTTATGAATTAGCGAGAACGCACTGCGGGAACCTTGGAGGCTACTTGGCATTTCCAATGGTGAGACATCATTGCCGATCATATATTGAATAAAATTATGTGAAATGAAGAAAAAACATGACAACTACATAGTAGAGATCATGTAGTTGTCATGTTGTAAACATGACAACATTAATGTTTGAATATCTACGAATGTTTGAATGTTTTCATCATGTTGTAGTCATGATGAAAACATTCAAACTGTTTGGCATTTATAAGCAGCCCTTACAAGAAGAAAATTACTCAAATTTTCAACAAATTCTTTCATTTGCGCAAATCGCAATCTTGCAAGACGGTTTTACATTGATTTCCAAAATATAGGTGGATGAAGTGTAAATATTTTTGAGACGAGCTACGAAACTTGCGAAGAATCCTAGTAACAAAAAGAAATTTGAATTACAAGGGGAATATTTTACCGGTGAGAATATTCTGGAGAGGCATTAAGGAAAAAATTATGAGTTGCAATTGCGCTTAAAATCCACTCGAGATTTGTCTGAGTAGAAACGAAGCTGGAATGTACCTTGGTTAATTTCCACTGATATATAATAATAGGCCGAACACCAATTTAAATTTTTTATTTAATTAGAGTTTTTTTCAATCGACAGAACATCACCGGCAGTCAAGGCCATATTTGTTAAAGCTTTTGAGTTGAATTTAGAACCTTAAGATACTTAAGTAGTTTAAAAAGAGCCCTAAAATGATAAAAAATTTACCACGATCGAGCAAATTGTGTTTTATTTTCTCGAAAAACAAGGAAAAGTTTAAATAAAAGCCAATCAAATAAATATTTAAATAAACCAATATAATTTATAAAATTTATCAAGAAAATTTTACATGTCACCGCTCGTATACTCACCTATGATCAACCTAAAAATTGTAATTTAAACGCTGAAAATTTGTTGTGCAGGACGACCAAGAAAACTCGTTCATCAGACAGCTGGTGAAGGCTCAGTACGCGTGGCTGGGAGGAGACATGATAGGTCGCAACGGCACGTTCTTGACCAGCGGCAGCGCGCCCGAGGGAGGTGAGACTAAATAGTTAATTAATGAACAAGCCTCTTATTTCAGCATAGTTTATTAATGGACGAAACACATGATTTTTAGCTTTTCATCACTGTAAAAGAAAATTTATAGAAGTTACAAAAATGGATTAACATTTAATAACAGTAACAGAAAAAATTTATGATCAACGATGGAACGAGCACAGCCAACAGTGCAGTTTATATCTTGAAGTATTATTATAAATTCTCTTACGTATATTACGTAAGAGAATCAAAAATCAAGCACGTTCGTTAATTATTTTTACCTTAAAGATTATTTCATTTTGGAACATTCACGTGCACAAAGTTTACTATTTAATACTCATACAGTAATTCATGTAACCTTTTTCCAGCTCGTCCAATCCGTCAAACTTTTTGGAACACTGGTGAACCGAACAACCCAATTAATGAACAATGCATAATGATGATCGGCAGCGGTAAGTGGAATGACGGAAGCTGTGGTTCGAGTTACAACTTCGTGTGTCAGTTTCCCTACGCGGGTGCATGCATGTGGCTTCCTCATCCTGCCTTCCACGACCTTCAGTGCTACAGAAAAGCTTGAAAAATGCTGTTTGAAAAGTTTGAAACACACAGTTTGATAAGTGATTAAACAAGTTTGAAAAATGACTGAAAACAATTAAAATGAGTTTATTTTAGCGCATTTTCTCGTTTATGAAAAATGCACTATTGTGCTCGCCATGTTCGTCTATCTGTCTGTCCGTCTGTCTGTCCGTCCACGACTTCACGTTTTCGTCGACGAGAAAATGCGCTCTCTGTCACTCACTGCAGTGAGTACTGAGTTATATTTTCATTGTATTCGCTCGAATACAGTCGTACTGCGTCTTTTATAGTTTAGCGGTGTCAGCTTTCATTATGCCGTTTGACCTGTCGCTAATTTTTTATATAGGAGAATATTCACAGCTTGTTGCGGGTCTCGGACAGGCAACTCCCAGCTTCAATTTTGCTGTGCTTAATCGCCGGTCTCCTCGCCGATCTGATCAGAAATTTCACAGGTTGCTGGGGTCGAACCCACCACTCAATAATCCAGTCTTGGTACTCTGCACTATAACCACTGGGTAACCTGTTTAAATTACTTAGAGAGTAAGAATAGAACTTCTTCAAGTATCATCCGTAGCAAATGGTTTCAACTTAGAAAGAAGACATCAAGATTCTAATGAGAATATACCTACATCACTAAATACTTTCAGGATCAAATTTAGAATAACCAAGCCTTGCATGAATAAACTCCAACTCCTCTGAAGTCAAATCTTTGACATCAATAAAATTTGCAACATGGCTCTTATCCTATTAACACATGTTGTTTAATTTGAATTTGAATTTCTTCAAGTAAAGTTGAAACATGTAATCAGGAGAGCACTCATAGATGAGCCTTGTAATTTTCATGAAGTTAGTTTTATGCATATAATTAAAAATGTACTTATTAATCAAATTAATCATACAACCAAGTCTTCTATACCTCACAACTTTCAGCTTTAGGGAATATTTACCAGTTGAACTGATTGTCTTATAACAGAGCAAAACGTTACCAAGTTAGAATTCAAAATTTAATTCAACAATTGTAAATAAATTTATTCATCTTATAACTCATTTTTACTCCAGTTAACTAAAACGGCACATTTTAAAATGATTATATTTTATCAAAACTCAAACCTGACTTCGATAACATACTATCGATGAATACCCTTCTACAGTTGCGGTCATCCGTGCAATTCTACATATAAAAATGTAAAATAATTAAATAAATTTATTTCAAAATATGAATCTTATTACTCCATAAATGTACAAACAATATTTAGAACTATTAACGAGAATATAATTCCCTTTACTTAATCGCCTGCATTTTATTGGAACGATTAACAAGTCAGTCATACGACCTCCCCTCATATAGATTCAGTTGTAGGAAATAAAATTATTTCTGGTCCCTTGCAAAGTTTTGGATACCGACCGGAATATCATGAATCTGAGTGAATCAGTTGCTAATTCAAGAAAAAGAATAATTAGAATGAGTGCCCAAATCGCAAATTAAAAAGGAATATAACAGGGAAAAAATATTCCAAAACGTATTTTTGGTAAAGATATATTTGAGATCTGCTCCCTCAGAAGTTAAAGAATTCAATAATAAAATTAAAATTTAATGCTGCGAATAATTATATACAATCGAAATTAAACCTAATTTAAAATCTAATTAGTCTCTCAATTATTATAGTTTTTAATATGGAAAAAACAACCAGCGTTGTTCACGTAGGCTCTCGTTTGGAAATATGGAAGGATTTGTTAATTAATTAATCCTTTGATTTCAGAATTTATCCTTTCATATTAGAATTAATTTGACTTGAATGAAAAGGATGATCTCCGAAACATTTCGATTGGAAATATGGTTTAAGGTGAATTTTCTACGCTATTAAATTTTTGGTCGAGTAGAATATTTAAAAAAATATTTAAACTAAAGCTTTATTTTTCTAGGTGGTTCTGTAGTAATTACTTATGCATTTTAAATAGGTTCTAGGAAAACCTTCAGGTACATACCTTCAGCGGGAAAAACTAGGTATTACGACGAAATTTTCTACACAAAACTAATTTGATTCATGTCAGCGGGTGAAACTAATATCCTTAATTTGTGTATTTTAATTCGAGTGTTTTTGCTCTGTTACTGCATCGAAAACAGTTATCGTCTTTAATTTAAGTTTTCCAGACGTATTGTAACAATGCTGCCTCATTTATCAAGATTATTGTTAATTTTCTACTCAGTTTAAATGAATAATATATATGGAGGTTCTGAAGTTATTAATTAGGTAGTGAAGTACGCATATATCTGGAATTTTTTCACCTCCGTTTAACTATAAAATGTTGATATGTGTTTGACCAATCTGTCGCGTCGAAATTAAGAAGACGCATAGCCACGAAGAAGCAGTCACTCATGTCGAGGGCTTCAGTATATATTTCGTTATCATCATTCATCAAGATAATTTGGCAGTCTTTGCGACAGTGTTCACGATGAGGAACCTCCTAGAACATGCATTGGGTTTAGTTTATAAATGAGAATGACCTTTGATTATAACCACAAGGTAAGAACAACAATGAAAAAAGTGATGTTAGAGTCAATAGATATGGTCTTTACGAATCGATTGATACGTGTCTCGATGTTGTAGGATGATATTTGTGGGAGGAGATAGATTTTCTAAAGTACCCCTTTTTAGCCGTTTTCTATGAATTTCACATTTCTATCAATTTTTTCGCAAAATTCATAGGAGCAAAATGTTTTTGTTTTTACATTTTACGTATGTATGTGAACTTGTGAAGTTTCATGACAATCGGATAATAACTGTAGAAGTTTTCCGTAGGGTTAGCCGATCCCCTTAATTGTGTGGGCCCATTTGGTGCAGGAAGGGTGTACGACTGTTAATGGAATTACTTGATCAAATCTTTGCATTGAAATTTAGGCAAGAAAAAAATAATTTATTCTGAGTATGGCGGGAAAACAAATATTTTGACGGGAAGAATAGGTTAAATAAAATTCAAGTTTACATTTGAGTAGGGTTTGATGAGAAGTAATTATTTTAAAATAATGTATTTGTATACACGACAAAAGTTATGTACATAATATTATTATCATTTTGCTTCCAGAACTCGAAGCAACAACAGCGAGCTTCGTTTACCAATACATTCGAAAAATATCGCTGAAAAGTAGAAAAATCACGAACTCATTAATTTGTTGTAAATTTCGTTCCTTTTAGAATTTTTGAGCACTGCAGGAGATGAATAAAACGCAATAAATACAAAACTTATTGAATGAGTATTTCGGTAATTGTCTCACTTGTCCAAATCAAGTTGTTAGCTTGGAGGTCCATCTTTTCCATTGATGGGGGACCATCCCTGGAAACGGAAAAATTGAAATTATGACTTGGTATTATTTTGTAAAAAACGCAAAAAATTACTCAGTTCTAGAGTCTGATAAAGATTCACCAAATATATGAGTAAACATTTAATGAAGCTGACATTGCACAAAAAACTCTGATTTTATGAATACAATGGGTTAAAAAATGAATTGTTCAAATTTTCTCCAATTTATAGCTGCAGATCGCTTACTCATCCATGACCAGCAAAAATATTTTATTTTGAGATTTTGGGACTTGTGTATTTACACAAGCTTTCGTAATCTTTGAATAGGAAGATGACAACAATGTTTTCTCAGAACGACTTACACGTGTCGAAAGAAAACACGTGTCGAAGTAAGACAAATTTTGTAAAAATATCAGCAATGACTGTAATCATTCAGCCTACAATCAATTCGTAAATGACGTTACTCACAAATTCCATCAAGTTGATGCATGGCCTGATCAAGGAAGTAAAGATTCCGACTACAAGTATAACCCGAATAAACAAAATATGAGTAAAATTTTAGAACTGCAGTTAGAAAGAACATATTAGAAATTTATTCGTATGATATTTTTAAATTAGATAACACCAAATGCCCTTTAGTGATTGCAGCTATTGATGTAAAATAACAATGGTAAATTTATTTGAGCCGTGATGAAAAATTTCTCTTATATATCAACCAAAACTATAGTCGTGCGAAGAATTTGGTCCAAACATAAAATGTGCTATTTCATGTCCGTGTTATCTCAATTCACTGCAAGCATACAGAGCACAAAAACTCTATTTTTACACATTTTTTGCGGTGCATCAATATCTCCCATAGTATTTCTGGAAAAATTAATGATCCACTAATAAATTGACTTCAAAATTACAAAAATTACACCTTTGCCTTCATGATCAGAGCTCAGTGGTGATGATTTCAGAGTAGTTTTATCACCAACAGAAAAGGTCAACATTGATTGTTTAGTGTTGGATTGATTGCTGGAAATTATGGGCTAACTGATTAGCCACGAGCATCCAAATGACTAAGCTGGATGATTCCCCAAACTATTAACAACGCGCGAAATGCTCTATTAGGTTTGACGTGGAAGAATACGACTGAATGTGCTTATAAGGATTGTCTGCTGTAGAAAAGCTACATTTACTTACTTTGGTTGAACGCAGATGGTTGCGAGAGACAGTTATTGGTGCAACGCGGAGTTTAACTCTATAATCGTCCTCCCTAAGTTCCGTTTGTGGTACTATAAATTCATAAAATACATGCAGAGAATAGAAAATTTCAACAACATGCAGTAAATTTTTTCTGTTGTGAACTCCGAAACGCGACATCCAACTCATGAACCGTCGACAATAAATTCCGTACTGCGAACACATAGAATACACGCATAGATCTGAAAAGTTCAAAGCATACATAAAATTTTAAAGATGAAACCTACATATTGCCGCTTATGATTGCATGTATCGAATTAATATTTGAGATGTAATTGAAACCTCATGAATTGAAACTTGTTGCGGGGTAAATGTTTAAAAATAAAAAATTTAGGTCTATTAAGTCGGCAGTTAATCATATTAAAAAAAACACCGTGTCTTTTCATGTAAATTCAATCATTTTTCAGATATCACTTAAAATCGTTTTGGATTAGTGTGCCTAAAAGAACAAAGCGCAAACATGTCCTTCAAGTTGGAAATCTCGATGATTTTATGCCTATTATATAGCTCACTAAGTTCTGGAGTAATTTTGAGTAATGAAGGAGTGAGTTTCAAAACAGTCGAAGAAGCTTGTATTGAAACTTCTTTCTCCAAGCTGTCCTTAAAAGCCAAGGTGAGATGAACGAAAAAACAGAATCCCATTATTTCATGTACAGCAGACACTTTCAAAATTGATGCGAAAATAATTAAAGCCAAAATTTTTATCCTCGTTGATAATTTTTTTATTTAATACTGTTGAAAGTAAAAAGATAGTCGAATATAAGTGGAATTGTCTTCATTAGAAATGTACATCAAAGACTCGAGTGGGCGCTTTAAATTTTAATTGACATCGAATTTTTTATATAAGTTGTTGATTAACTAAGTGATGATGAATGCTCGAGAACATTTTTCATTTGCACGCCAGATGGCGTGCGCTCGAGAGTGCCATGCGAATTCGACCTGCTCAGCCTTCTGCCACTCTGCCGCACTCAGCTCCTGCTACCTCAACGGTGAGTCCTACCGTCGCTTGATGATATTTTAATTGATTCGCTATTTGTATAAGATAACATCTATTGATTTAATCGTAGCAGAATTCTTCTATGGAAAAAATATATATTTAAATAATTATTGTTAAAATCGATTTGTTCTGTATTATAAAAGGGAAATTTGAGATGGAATTATAGTCAGTTGAAATGGGAAGTTGCAACTTTGCTATACGGTAGATTGTGATCATGAGATTAATGCAACCTCCTTACCAAAAACTGGCACAATAATAATTTACTTTTCATCCATATTGATAAAAGTCTACTAGATGTCATAAATCTAAAAAAACGTTAAAATCATAGAATGAATCTGCAGTTAAAAACTTCTGAAAAAGATGCTTTACCGATGATTTAAAAAACCCACTATTTTAAGATTGCAACAACATCTTTAATTGTTGAGGTCAAAGTATTATTTTTCGTGCACACTTTTACTTATTTGCAGTACGCGCATATACTCTAATGATCTAGAACAACGGAAAAACACGCCAGCCAAGGGCAACTAATTTAATGCGCACTGTTTTGACTCCATTCAGAGATACGGAATTTATCGAATGCCGCCTCAGTTGACGCCATGAAGTCGTATCTTCTCGTGAGCTCCAGCTTAAATTACAGCTTGGCACAGGCGTACTGTGCTAACCTGGGAGGATACTTGGCGTTTCCCATGGTGAGGCATTATGCTAGGAGGCTTCCTTGCGTTTCCCATGGCAAGGCATTATGGGTAGGAGGCTACATCGCGTTTCCAATGATGAAGAATTATGGCAAGGAGGATACTTGGAATTGCACACGACGCGACATTATGGCTCGGAGGATATTTGGTATTTTCCGTGGTGAGACATGATGGTTTTTTGGAGGCCACTTGGCATTTTTCATGGTGTAAGGGGAGGCGTTTGGTCCCGATAAGTTTAATAGTTACATTAAAGAGGTAGATGGTACAGCTGGGGACAAGACTGGCATGTAAGGCTACTGAAACCACTTGGGCACGGCTTAGGAAGATATATTATGGGGCACTTGGGCCAGCATACAAACAACAAACCGCAGACACCCGCAGTTAGCACGGCATGAAATGGGGTTAGTAGGGTTATGATGGTATGGAAGGAGCAAGTCACGCCAGCAGGTGAAGTTTGCTCTATAAAAGACAGTAGAAATCTCATGAAATCACCAGGGTCCTCAGCCCTTGTTGCAACTAGTAAATCGCAAGTCCCGATCACTGAAACAACAGGAGCAGTTGACCAAGGACACTCACACTGGCTGACATCCCACTAGTTGCAAATGGCGAAAGTACGGTCAGGCGAAACAAATGGCGAAAGTACGATGCATAATTTTTTACTGTGGAATTTCTGATTTTATTATAGAATGCCCAAGAAAACTCGTTCATCAACCAGATGGCAAAAAATCAGCAGGTGTGGTTAGGAGGAGACATGATCGGCCATAACGGCACGTTCTTGACCAGTGGCAGCGCGCCAGAGGGAGGTAATCTTTAATGATTGAAAAACACTTTTATATTGTATTATGATTGCAGAATTAACGTGCCACTTCCAGCGCCGACTTTGCGTTGCTTTGAGAAATGAAGCAATTTACAATATGGGAGTAGATCTTATATCAGAATTCATTCCACAAGTATTCAAATTAGAGTAATTTGAAATTATTTTGATTTATTCATTGCAGATCGTGCCATTGTTCAAACTTTTTGGAGAAGCGGCGAGCCGAACAACCCAGTGAGTGAACAATGCATTCAGATGCTCGGCGGCGCGGTGTGGAACGACCGAGGCTGCGCGCTGCCTTACAGTTTCGTGTGTCAGTTCCCCTACGCCGGCGCCTGCGTAGGGCTTCCTCATCCTGCTTTTCCTGACCTCAAATGCTTCAAAAAAGTTTGAAAATGGATCATGAAAATTTAAAAAAATGCTTCCGTCCAAAATATCATAAATAGTATAGACGCATTCTTCATAGGAAATGCTGACAACTGCGTACGGCTACTTCATCATCCTGCACTTCTTGACCTAAAATGCTTCAAAAAAATTTGAAAATGGCTCATGAAAATAAAAAAAAAATTCTTTCGTCCAAAATATCAATAAACAAAAAAATATAGACGCATTCTTCTTAGGCAATGCTGACAACTGCGTATGGCTACTTCATCATCCTGCACTTCTTGACCTAAAATGCTACAAAAAAGTTCAAACTTATGCTGTTGTTTTATTACTTTGTGCTGTCTACTCCTGTGTGAAATATAGAATAATGATAATGAACAAGGAAGAATAATTTTCTCGACTTTTGTTTAGATCAAAGTTCTTTTGCGGCAGTTATCGATTAATTACCCAATTCAAAAGCGATTAAACCAACATACCTTAAATTGCAACTGCGCAGGATTAAAATGTTTCTCGACTTTGGTTGAGAAATATTGACTCAGGGTCTGTTCAATTATTTTAATTTATTAATGGAATGTTTTCGCTTTTAATGGGAACAACCAGATATCTAAACGACTTGGAAATCGCATTGCCACATTAGAAGAATTCATGTTGATTCAAAGAAATCTTATATAAAATTAACTTTTCTTAAGGGATATGATCAATTTTTCTAGTAGGTTTTTTACCCAACCCTCTGTTGAAAGTTGAATAAATTGGAAGGATTGAGTCTCTCATAAAGATTCCACACGATTATATTTATTTTTCAGGCAATCTTTCATTATTCATCGTCAATCCATGAATTATTTTGTGATTAGAGTAGATCTTTTCACGGTAATGCTTTACTCCTTAAAAGTTGGTTACGCTTTTTGGGATTGAGAAACCGTATCGAATTCGCAATATTGGCAGGATAAATAGAAAACATTGTTGAATTTACACAAACGTCTTTATTCAACTGCACACTCTCATTCACAAAAGGGAATAGAACCTGCAATGAATTACGTGCAGGCCAGATGACATTTTTCTTGCTCCTTCTTGTTCAGTCCACATTTGCTGATGCATTTGTTCAGTCCACAGTTGCTTCTTGCTGGCAACGTACCGGTACTAATCATTGTTCGGTACATAGGCATATTTTCATAGTTTTATTTATGGAAATAAAGAGTTTATGCACAATTGCGGCATGGTGTGTACTTCAATAATCGAACGGTGATGAAATCTCAGTGGCATTTCTCAATGCGGAATAGGCTTGTCGTTCTGAGAGTTTTCGGTTTTGTTAAGTTCCATATTGTCTCGGTATAGATTCGCTCAAAAAGGATCGCAAACAAAGAACCTAACCCAATCTTGTGATTTACCAAGTTTGTCTGCCACTTACTTCTCATTTCACATTTTTTCCCACCAATCTGTTTCCTCTCTTTCCATATCCCTCAATTTGCTAGTGAACTGTACGTAAAAAATGCTTCCAAAGTTACTTCACCATAAGGATCAATGATAAGTGCAGCAGGAGTGCGATCAGTCAGATTAATTGAAAGGGGATGAAAGAATTCAAGCAGGTACCTACAAACTGTGAGCCAAACTAATTTTCACAGACGGAAATATATGTAATTGGTTTAATATTACAGTCTGCTGTAGCACACAATTCACGCAGGTACCGACAAATTGTGAGCCAAACTTATCACAGACGGCAATAGATGTGATTGGTTTAATTATTACAGTCTGCTGTAGCACATGTAGGTATGATTGGTTTAATTATTACAGTCTGCTGTAGCACATGTAGTCAGCAGAGTAGGCAGGATGAGGCAGCGCAACACAGCTGTAGGGTACAAACGACTGGCAGACGTACGGTAGCAGGATTGTGCAGCCTGCGTCGTTGAATCCATTTGTCCAAAGCATAATGCACTGTTCTGCGCTAGCCAAATTATCTGGCTGTCCAGGGGCGAATGGTGCGTACCTCACGGGTTGATCTGAGATTAGAGATATACACAAATATTACATAGATTTGTGAGGAATTTAAAACCATGTGTGCACATAAAATCATCATATTTTGTGCACATGATTTGTATCATTGCAATTAAGATATATATTCATTGAAATGTTAACAGTCAATGTTTACTGAGAAATGACATGGCCAGAATCGGAAAAAAATTTCTATCTTATTCGGGTTTATGCCCCGAGGAGCATCCTGCTTCACTCTATACTGGTGTATATGCATCCATTCTTGTAACAATATAGGCCTACAGTTAATCCGCGTCTATCGGCATAGGACACTCATCCAACAAACTAAAGCTCCTTAGACCGACGAGTGAAGAATCATATTGAAAATTACATCTGGTGTGCTTGGCATGTTTGTCGCAGCATTTGGGTAATTCGTCGATAGGGCAAGTCGATGGGGTCAGTCGATAGAGCAATTCGTTGGTGTCAGTCGATAGGGAAATGCGATGGGGTTAGTCGATGGGGCAATTCGATGGGGTCAGTCGACGGGTAATTTGATGGGACAATGCGATGGGGTTAGTCGATGGGGCAATTCGATGGGGTCAGTCGATGGGGTCAGTCGATGGGGCAATTCGATGGGGAACATTTCATTCTGGACTGATTCATATAAAAGAATTTAAGGTTTGTAACTCCGTCTGCCAATTACTGACAGCCTTAAAAGCTAAACACGCCAATCACAGGCGTGATATGGACCTCTATAGTTACTTAGGCCACTGCATGTACTTTAAACGAATTTTGAAAGAACAGCCTCAGGGCTACGCTTCTGCTTACCCACATAGTACTTGAAATGCATGAATTCATTGCTAGATGTATCAGCTTTTAATTGTTAATATTCCAGACCAAGGACCTTCCATTTTTTCAGGTGCATTAACGTGTTACAGCATCGTCATGGTTGCAATTAAAGTTGACGGGCTTCTATATGTTTTTTCACGTTTGATCTTAACGAGTATTTTGCGTTGAAGGAGTAGTTTGAGCGTGAGTTTTAGTGTTGAGAGATTCCTGCTGAATTTGCTTAATGCATTTTATTAGTTTAAATTTTCGAATTAGGAACACGGTCCAGATAATATTTTAAACTAAATGAAACGAGATGGTAAAAGAAAATTTTTGAATATTAGAAAAGTGACCAAATCAGAAGTAGTTATTGATGCTGCATGATGGAAACCTAATAGATAGAAGTTTAAACAAATAGATTCATTTACCTCCGTAATCGGCTGGACCACCGGAAGTGAAGATTTGTCCGTTGTGCCCAACAGCATCAATCCCTATCCAGAGACCGCCAGCTCCTTTAGCGGCCGTGCGTATATCGGTGACTTCAGACGCTGACTATAAGTAAATAATTTTGCCATCAAGTACGCAGTCCCGAAATATTTTTTTCAGGAAATTTATTTTCCTTGTTATTATGCATTTTACAGATTTAATTATTTGTTTAAGATGAATTATGAATTATTATTAACCAACACGGAATACAATTCTGCGATTATCAAAAGTATCCAGTCGATAATAAAATGTTTCTGTCTTTCTAGGAATGCTACGTACTAAATTTCACATCTATGATGAATTATTGTACTATAAGAGTAGTCTCATTACTGCCGGTATAGCGAGGTAGTTGCTCAAGGCTCGGCAGTTGTCTCTTTACCAAAGCTACGCACTAAATTTTTCATATATTAATAATTATTGTACTATAAGAGTAGTCCCATTACTGCCGGTATAGCGAGGTAGTTGTTCAAGGCTCGGCAGTTGGCAAAAGCAGTGGCGTGAGCGGCGGCGGGGTAGAAGGAGTAGGTTCTCATGCCGACGATCATCGCTGAGTTCGTCAATGCAGAGGATTCTATTATAAAGGATTGATAAAAAGTAAAATAAAGTGGTAAAAAATGTAATGGTCAGATAACGACATTCTGTGCTTACATTAACTCATTTGCCACTCATTTGCACAGCATTAACTCATTAATTTGCACAGCAATAACTCCTTAATTTGCACAGCAATAACTCATTTGCACAGCAGTAACTCATTTGCGCAACATTAACTTATTTGCACAGCAATAACTCATTTGCACAACATTAACTCATTTAAGCAACTAATTTGCACAGCATTAACTCATTTAGAATAGAATAGAATAGAATAGAATAGAATAGAATAGAATAGAATAGAATAGAATAGAATAGAATAGAATAGAATAGAATAGAATAGAATAAGAAGCGGTTGAATTAATTATTAGTTTTTGTTATGGGGATTCGAGTAATTATTTGCTTGAAAGTCAAAATTGTTTATTGAGGAGTTAGTTAAGCAATATGTATGTTGTATAGGTTGAGGCGCTTTAACATTTGAGGTTATGAATTTGCGATTTATTCGTAGATTAGCATGCATAAAATGTGTTCGCCTTTCTAAGTCGCAGCGAACTGGCGTTCGTGAGCAGCTTGCTTATGGTAATAATAACTTTTAAGTGCCTTGTTAAATAGCCATAATATAACAAAAGTATTCGAAGGAATTTCGAAACATGCAATTACCTTGATAGCAAGAAATTATTTGTAGCAAGAGAGTTCAATACCAGTATTAAAAAATCCATATAATACCTGAAAGATCTTATAGGTACCCTCTAGTTTTACGCTATAGCTCCCAAGCCGCACATTATGTCACTGACGCTGGAGTGACCAGTTTCATCCGAAATACGAAAAATATTAAAATTCAAATATTCACGAAAACAGTAAAACCAAAGGTACGAGAAAACGGCAACGGAACATAGAAACGGAGTTAATATCAATAACGCAAAGAGTTATTATCCCATCCTGACATCGAACGCGTTATTGAGACAATAATAACAAAATTGTGTCAATAGCGCGAACAGTTCTTATTTCTCTAAAACTATAAATCGATAGGTTGTCTGTTGTTATTTCCTTGTCATTAATTAAGGTTTAGTTATTTTTCGTATATTTTTAGATTGCTACTGCTGATTGCACTTGTATTCTCTAATCATTTTTTAACTGATGATGGAGTTGGTCTCCACAACATTTTTATGAATATATAGCGATCGAATCACCGTGGTGTTCCCATTGTATTTAAATTCTTGGCGAACGTGTGCTTTAGCAGATAATATAAATGCAATTAACTATATCAGACTCGAACAAATTCTCTTAGCAGCAATAACAACAAATATCAATGAAAAGTCAAGTAATGAGAATGTGAGAGACTTACTGTGCAACATGCACGACGCGTTCGACGCCGAGTAGCAGAACCCAAGACAGTCTAGCTTGGCGGCTCCACAGGTCGCAGAGCAGAGAATCTGAACACGGAACACAGAGCATTACCGGACGAAAAGAGTTACAAGTTAGATGTAATGCTTGTTAATATGGCATAAGCGAACGAAAATATAACTTGAAGACAACTATTTATTCCATGCGAGTAAAATAATAAGAAACATTGAATGGTTCAAATAGTGAGCAGATGACTGCGCACGATGGAAGGGTAAATACCATTATTATTGAAGGTAAACAATTATCTGGGAAAAGAATGATCCTTGGTATGGCTTTGAGTTGTACTTGATCACGAAATGAAGCTACTATAGGTGGTTAGAGGTTAGAATATTTGTTGACCAAGTCATGTTGTATCGACAGAAGATATCTACGAAAAATTGAAGCTTCGTGATGTAGTAATTACCTTAACGACAGCAATTCAGTGTTTCGGGATTGAATATTTTGCAGTGATTATGGTAAATGCGAACGAAAAACGTATATAATAATGCTGGGAATAAGAAAAATCCAGATGAAATTTTTCCTAAATATAACAATTTTGTTAATGAAAAATCAATGCTAAATGCTGTTAGAATTGATTGATTGATTGTTAGAATTTTCGTGTTTAATTAAGGGCTCAATATATGCGCCATGACAGGTTAAAAGTTAATTTTAGAATTGCAATTGTAAGATGTTGTAATTTTTTTTATAAAATTTCTCTTCAATAAAAGTTGTTGAGTAATAATAAACTACCGTTCACTATCTCAAAGTGAACGGTAGAAAAAAGGGCTATACATTAATCGAGTGAATGTCTTTAAAGTAGTTTATTCAATTTGGAAAAAGAGGTTTTTCATAGCTACAGTTCCGAACATTTCTTCCAAAGCTCACTTTTAGTTATATAAACACAGTTATTTGCTCGTTTTGTAGAATCGATCAAAGATCAGAATATCTATTTGTGAATCTTGATTATATCGAGAACGTTGATAACGAAAGAATAAGGCGAGAATTTATTAAAATATGAAGGGTAGATTATTAAAAACACGATCGTGATTGACCATGCCGCTCAACGAGACAAGTTGACTTAATACTGACACAGACATTTCATATAAGTAAAAAATCTCCTTGTTAATAAATCGTAAAAAATTATTTAGGCATTTCTGGGACAGCACAATATTTTTATGTCATCTAAACCATCAGAAATGATTCCCAATTTATGTAAATTTCGTCTCCTAGAGTCAAATATCAATTTTATTAACATAGGGCAATTGCATGAATTTCGTATTCACATTTATACTGCACTCTCAAATAATAAATCCAAACTGGCAATTAATTTTCAACTCCTGTGAAAATAAGAAAAACAGACGAGTAGATAAAACTTTTGGCTTATTAACGTTAAGTAAACATACCAACTCTCTACCCTCGAGAATAATCAAGAAAATTTCGATCTGTTGTCTGGATCCAATTCTGTCTATAATCGAGTTCCTATTTGATTCCTTGAACATGCACAAGGTTTGGAATGCTTGCCAATAAATTCAAGCATTATATTACCAGGTATTAGTTAATGAGTTGACGATTGAAGAACTCACCAGACTGTCAGAAGGGACCTGTTGAACGACGTTGGCGCAGGTTTGGAAGACCTGTTTGAAGATGGCCACGTTAACCGTTCCTGAACTTGCCACCAGCCAACTGACGGTTATGCAAACAATCACTTGGATTTGCGACAACATTTTTCACGATTAAAGAAGAATTTAATTTTATAACGGGCTTCTTTGAATATAGATGAATATTCTCGAGAAAACGTGAGATTTAAACTTGCAAAGAAAATTTTGGATTTTCTTTTTTTCGTTATCTATTTTGACTTAAACCGTTCTTTTTATTATAGAGATGATGACAGGCAGGTACTTATAGATGTTGCTTGCTGCCGTCTCTGAGAGCTTGTGTCGGCATTCTAGCTCGTCTCAGTCATACCTCGAAGTCTCAAATTTGTGGATCTCCCTGATTTATTATCCCAATTATTCCCCCATCTAGGAATTAAGGAATGGGGCGTTTATCGGACGGAGAAATAGATGCAGTTTTTGTTTTCGTTGATGACCACAAAGGGCTTTTCTTTGGTGGTTTTTGTGCTCGTATCGGAAGCGAATCGAAGAAGAGTGAGCACATCATCACAATTCAGAATCACTGAGTGCTCATTTATGCCGAGGTATTCGGACCAAGGAAGCGAATCAGTTGATTTTGGTTGAACCTATAATGAGGCTCATAGTGCACACCACTAATTACATTCCTCATCAGTAGGCACATTAAATTATCTTTGTTAAATTAAAATTAAAATCTTAATTTCCAAAAGGATATGCAAAATAACGTGAAAACCAATTAATTAAGCTATTACTGTTTTTTTTATTCTGTGCTGTCTCATTTATAAGTATCTTATATTAATTGCAATTATGATTATTTGATTGGAGGGCAAGTAATTTTAGAATTTATTATTAAGTAGTTTGCTAATTAATAAATATCAGTTTTCGATTAATTAGATCCATTTCTGTGCGAAGTCTTTCCTCCGCTTTTCAACAAAAAAATATAACAAAAGTTTTCAGAAATTGCAATTAAGAAATAACTTTCCGTCAATAAAACGACCAACCTCGATACCTCTGCACATTCATGACGAGGCATTAAGTAAATTCCATGTTGATGACGACAAATTGACCGTCTCTATGATGGAATTTATGATGAGCAGCCAACTAGCGCGGGCAGTTGGCTCTGTTTGTAAATGCCAATTCGAGAACAAGTTTGACCTTTGATTATAAGGCCAAAAATGAGCATTTATCTCAACTAGAGACACATCCATGCCAATTCTGCCAATAACTTAAGGGACACATCGAAATTGCTTTTCATCTGTCATCGGTGACAATTATTGTGTTGCTATGATAAACAAGGGAAAAACACACAGATCTTCTGATGTGTAGATTTAGATGCATCATGGAGCTGAAAATATGAACAACAGTTGAATAAATGGCCCTATCGTCTTGGTTTGTACCGGGATTTTAGTGAGATCGTGAACGTTTATTCTTCCCGAGCATTGCAACGAAACCAAAATTTTGCGGGGATAAACTAATCAGACGACATGAAAATTTATATTTAAGTAAAGTAAAGTACGTTATTTTTTGATAATAATTCATCTTCTGTACAGAGCCAGAAGCCAGAAGTTATGGTTCTGATTGTCGGGATTTTGCTGCCACAACTTCAGGCAACTACAGCAAGGTTCTATCGTCAATCTGTGTACTTATATGATCGGGTAGCAATATCGAAGTACTAGACTTTTCTGTGTAAAAGTAGTGAGTTTTCACGATTTTTTTTGGATCAAACCCTTTTCCAACTTAGAGTAGTCAACGTTTACAATAATCATCGAGACTGAAACCATGCAGATGATTTTCGAGCACCTGTCTACGATGGGAAGGTATTAATATTAAGACGTATTGTGAACTGCTGGGACCTTTAAGTCTTTGGCATATTTCAATTGTGTGAATTTTCAAATACTGGCGTGGAAAATATAATTTCGTAATCATTTTGTGAATCAACCACATCTCAGGCCACAAAGACCACATCTCAAGCCACAAAGACCACATCTCGGGCTAAATGGGTGAGAGCCACAAAATCTTCAGGGGCCATACTTTCAAAATTCGCTAAGTGAACGTAAGTACTTACGCTCTATTTTCTTGTCTATGATTGGTGGACTTTGCTTGGGATGACGTCAATGATTGGCCGATGAACTTACGATCTCTTAACTTTTTTGAAAGTATAGGCCCAGGTCTGTCACTATCAGCCAATCAGTCTTGAGGCCTGCCACCTTAATTAAGCAAATCAGTTTACAGGTCAGGTGAAAACACCCTAAAATGATTTTTTTTTCAATGCGAGAAGTAGTAGAAAATTTTCGCGGGATGCGCTGTATTTTAACCAACTGTATAATGAAAAACTGGTTAATATGTTGTCGATTTTCGGCAACATATTGATTAGATGGAAAATTCTCCTGATTATGACATTTCTTTCTGTGTGCTCTGGGAATATAAAAAACTTTGTTTATAGCAAATGCAAGTAAACATTTTCACTATCTTTATTTTGTATATGCAAATCAGCCAATAATGTGATCTCCATATTCTGAAGAACTCACAGCGATAAATTGAATGAAGCATTATTACTCGCTTGCTAACCTGCAAATGATTTTTTGTGTTGAAACAATGGACCGTCTCTCGCTATCTTAAACATGAAAATAAATTTATATAGATTCCGCAGCCTACAATTATTGTATGCAAGAAAACTTGTGACCAAATAAAACACGTGTCCAAATAAAACATGTGTCCAAATAAAATACGTGTCCAAATAAAACAAGTGTCCAAATAAAACATGTGTCCAAATAAAATACGTGTCCAAATAAAACACGTGTCCAAATATAACACGTGTCGAAATAAAACAGCTTCTGTAAAGAAATAAACACTTGGTATGAGACATTCAGACAACAATCGATTCGTAAATAACGTTACTCTGAAATTCTATCAAGTTGATAAATGCCCTAAGCGAGGAAGGCATGATTTGGTGCCGAATCTCGCATAAAGTAAAGCTCGATTAAACAGTGACTGGATTATGTGTGTCTCAGGATATCCAAGGAAAATATTTAAGCCGCATGTTAGTCACAATAATATGTAAATATATAGTCTTTTCTATTTAATCTCGACTGCGCAAATGCCGTTTATAGTGCCGTAAATGCCACAGCCATCGATCTAGAATCTGACTGATGAATTTATTTGAACCGCAATAAAAAATTTCTCATATGTCTGGTACGTATTATATCTCATAGGTCTGGTACGTATCATATGTCTGTTTAAAATATTGACATATAACCAGTAAGTACCGAGTTTTCCGAGCATCAACGGATCCTTTCAGTGATTGAGTTCAATTTCCATCGAATAATTAATTCGGCAAAAACTGAAAAATTGCATTGTGGATTACTTGTCTATGATCGCAATGCAGTACCACAAACGCAGCACAAAAACTCTGCTAAAACATATTGCGGTTTAACAAAATCTCTGTATTTCTGGACATATTAATGACCCATTAAAAATCGCTTTCTAATTCCTCGTTAGCCGTCATGATTGTTGCTCAGTGAGGAGGATGCATGAAAATTTCTACATCTGATTCCGTCAACATCGATTTTCTGTTGCTGACTGATCGCTAGAAATTACGGAGCCAACCGATAAGCTACGAAAACCCAAATGACCATACAAGCAGATGAAAGGAATTACGCTAGTGAATTTTAGTTGGGAAGCAAAATTATGCAATATTAAAAAAATGGCGTATTAACGTAATAAATTGATACCAATGTTGAAGTTAACGATACACATAAAGTTTAAGTAGCGCTAATTTAAAATAATCACAAATTTTTAAAAGTTTATTCCTCTATCAATGCTGACAAATATTACTAAAACAGCGCCCAAGAATTTAGACAAAATCAGAAAACCATCTAAATGGATTTTGAGTAGATATTTGGTTGTCATTGTTCAATTCGTTGCATTATAATAGGTCCTGAATGACTATGAAACAAGTTAAGAGTCTAGTAATGTATAGATAATTTTTTAATGGGTGGGTTTTTTGTGCAACTCAAATTATCATGGGTTGCTTTTAGACTTGAGCACAATATATAACCTAGCTTTGAGCTAGCATCTTAAATAAAGTTATTATGTAAAATTATTATTGTATGATTTTAGCGCTGATGAAATGACGTATCACTGCTTAAATTTTTTCTTAATTTGAGATCGTAATCTCGTGCCTGAAAATGAAAAATATAAAATTTCGATGACGTGGGAATTCATATTTCATGCTGCATTTCGTATAGGATCAATAAATATACTATCCACAACTGAGAACGGCGTGCGCGTTAAAAATCAAACTATCCTCCAGGCAAATGACGTTAAAACAACGGCAATTTCGAGTTGATTACGTTGAAATAACTTTAATTAACATTATTTTTACTTCAAATATCTGGGGAGTATGTCAAAATCAAAAATAAATTTCCGGTGCGAGACTTTGAGCACGAAACCGATTTCTTAAAGCGGTTACTACGTTATTCAAGCAAGCAAATACATGGGTTTTGTCTAGTAAAGTATGATTAAGGGCCAAGTCTTTCTGTGATCTCATGAGTGTCAATGGAGTCTTCATGAGTCTCAATAGAGTCATCATGAGTGTCAATGGAGTCATCATGAGTCTCAATGGAGTCATCATGAGTCTCAATAGAGTCATCATGAGTGTCAATGGAGTCATCGTGAGTCTCAATGGAGTCATCATGAGTCTCAATAGAGTCATGATGAGTCTCAATAGAGTCATCATGAGTCTCAATGTAGTCATCATGAATCTCAATAGAGTCATCATGTGTCTCAATAGAGTCTTCATGAGTCTCAATGGAGTCATCATGTGTCTCAATAGAGTCTTCATGAGTCTCAATGGAGTCATCATGATCGAGTCTCAATGGAGTCATCATGTGTCTCAATAGAGTCTTCATGAGTCTCAATATAAAAGTCTACTCGTTGTCATGAATGTAGAAAAAACAGTATAATCATAGAATGAATCTACAGTCAAAAACTTCTGAAAAAGATGCTTTACCGATTATTTCAAAAACCCACTATTACAAGATTACAACGTCATTTGGAATTGTTGAGGTGAATGGGTTATTTTTTTAGCACACTTATGCCTATTTGCAGTACGCGCATGTACTTTAATGATATAGACTTATAGAGCAACGAAAAAATAAAAAAAATTAATGTGCACTGTTTTATCTCCATTCAGAGATAAGGAATTTATCGAATGCCGCCTCGGTTGACGCGATGAAGTCGTATCTTCTCGTGAGCTCCAGCTTAAATTACAGCATGGCACAGGAGCACTGTGCTATCATGGGTGGCTATTTGGCGTTTCCCATGGTGAGGTGATCGAAAACAGTTATCATCTTTAATAATTTTAAGTTTTCCAGGCGTATTCAAACATGCAACAGGTACCGCAAAGATGATTTAGACACTTATCTTAAAATTTCAAACAATCATCAACTATTTCCGTGTCACGAAATTCTAAAAGTTACTTGAACAATCATAGAAAAAATTTAGCAATTCTAATTTTGAAACTATTTTTGCATGATTTTTTACTGTGTCCTCTGATTTTATTGTAGAATGCCGAAGAAAACTCGTTCATCAACCAGATGGCGAAAAATCAGCAGGTGTGGTTAGGAGGAGACCTGATCGGCCATAACGGCATATTCTTCACCAGTGGCAGCGCGCCCGAGGGAGGTAATCTTTTATGGTTGAAAAACACTTTTATATTGCATTATGATTGCAGAATTAACGTGCCTCTTTCAGCGCAGACTTTGCGTTGCTTTGAGAAATGAAGTAATTCGCAATATGGGAGTAATTTTTTTATTACAATTCATTCCACAAGTATTCATATTAGAGTGATTTGAAGTTATTTTGATTTATTCGTTGCAGATCGTGCCATTGTTCAAACTTTCTGGAGAAGCGGCGAGCCGAACAACCCAGTGATTGAACAATGCATTCAGATGCTCAGCGGTGCGGTGTGGAACGACCGAGGCTGCGCGCTGCTTTACAGTTTCGTGTGTCAGTTCCCATACGCCGGCGCCTGCGTAGGGCTACCTCATCCTGCTTTCCCTGACCTCAAATGCTTTAAAAAAGTTTGAAAATGGATCATGAAAATTAAAAAAAATTATTTCGTCCAAAATATCAATAAACAAAAAATGTAGAATCATTCTTCTTAGGCAATGCTGACAACTGCGTATGGCTACTTCATCATCCTGCACTTCTTGACCTAAAATGCTACAAAAAAGTTCAAACTTATGCTGTTGTTTTATTACTTTGTGCTGTCTACTCCTGTGTGAAATATAGAATAATGATAATGAACAAGGAAGAATAATTTTCTCGACTTTTGTTTAGATCAAAGTTCTTTTGCGGCAGTTATCGATTAATTACCCAATTCAAAAGCGATTAAACCAACATACCTTAAATTGCAACTGCGCAGGATTAAAATGTTTCTCGACTTTGGTTGAGAAATATTGACTCAGGGTCTGTTCAATTATTTTAATTTATTAATGGAATGTTTTCGCTTTTAATGGGAACAACCAGATATCTAAACGACTTGGAAATCGCATTGCCACATTAGAAGAATTCATGTTGATTCAAAGAAATCTTATATAAAATTAACTTTTCTTAAGGGATATGATCAATTTTTCTAGTAGGTTTTTTACCCAACCCTCTGTTGAAAGTTGAATAAATTGGAAGGATTGAGTCTCTCATAAAGATTCTTCGAATTCGCAATATTGGCAGGATAAATAGGAAACATTGTTGAATTTACACAAACGTCTTTATTCAACTGCACACTCCCATTCACAAAAGGGAATAGAACATGCAATGAATTGAGTGCAGGCCAGATGAAATTTTTATTGCTCCTTCTTGATCAGTCCTTTCGGGTTTTAGATCTCATTTACTGATGCCGTTGCTTCTTGCTGGCAACGTTACGGTACTATTCACTATTCGTTACATAAGCGTAGTTTCATTGTCTTAAATGTGAAAGTACAGAGTCTATGCACAATTGCGGCACGATGCGTACTACAATAATGGAACAGCGATGAAAACTCAGTGGCAATTCTTAATGCGGAATAGGCTTGTCGTCCTAAGAATTTTCGGTTTTTGTTAAGTGCTCAATTGTCTCAGTACAGAATCGAGCTCCTTAGACTGGGCCTCGTCTGGGCTTGGCCAGTTTCTATTGGCGAGCAAATTTAACAACCTAATTCAATCTTGGGATTTACGCAAGCATTTTTGCCACCTACTTCTCCTTTCACATTTTTTCCTACCAATCTGTTTCATCTCTTCCCATATCCCTCAATTTGCAAGTGAACTGTACGTAAAAAATGCTCCCAAAGTTACTGCACCATAGGGATCAATGATAAATGCAGCAGAAGTGCAATCAGTCAGATTAAGTGGATGAGATGAAACAATTCACGCAGGTACCGATAAACTGTGAGCCAAACTGATCACAGACGGCAATAGATGTGATGTGTTTAATTAATTATTACAGTCTTCTGAAGCACATGAAGGTATGATTGGTTTAATTATTAGAGTCTGTTGTAGCACATGTAGGTATGATTGGTTTAATTATTACAGTCCGTTGTAGTAAATGTAGGTGTGATTGTTTTAATTATTACAGTCTGCTGTAGCACATGTAGTCAGCGGAGTAGGCAGGATGAGGCAGAACAACACAGCTGTAGGGTACAAACGACTGGCAGACGTACGGTAGCAGAGATGTGCAGCTTCCATCGTTGAATCCACTTGTCCAAAGCATAATGCACTGTTCTGTGGTCGCCAGTTGATCTGGCTGTCCAGGGGCGAATGGTGCGTACATCACAGGTTGATCTAAAAGAAGAAATATGTACAAATATCACATAGGCTTGTGAGTAATTTAGAACCATGTGTGCACATAAAATCATTATATTTTGTGCACATGATTCATATCATTACAATGTTGCAATGTTAATAGCCAATGTTTACTGAGAAATGACATGGCCAGAATCGGAAAAAAATTTCTATCTTATTCGGGTTTATGCCTCGAGGAGCATCCTGCTTCACTGTTGAAGAATTTGAGATGGAATTATAGTCAGTTACAAATACAAAATAAATACACTGGTTTATATGCATCCATTATCGCAACAATATAGGCCTACAGTTAATCAGCGCCTATCGGCAAAAGACACTCATCCAACAAAATAAGGCTCCTCAGACCGACGAGTGAGGAATCACATGGAAAATTACATCTGGTGTGCT